ATTTCTCACTTTTACAGTCAGATTAGGTTAATATACAACAGCTTTAATGTGCACTGAGTGCGTACCGGTTCTGCCAATGAAAAACGCTATAACTTTTGCCCAATCGAAAACGCTATTATAGCGTATTCGATTACTGACTCGACCCGACTCCGAGTCAACAGTCTGTTCTTTTTAGCTGCATTTCTTATACGTAATTTAGCTCTTCTTTTGCAGCTAAACAGAACAGACTATTGACTCGGAGTCGGGTCGAGTCAGTAAATCGAATACGCTATTAGTTTAACGGCGGAATGGAGAGAGAGCAAGGAATTAAGAAAAGGAACAAGAGAGTGAGAAAAGGAGTAAAAATGGCGGATGCGAATACTCACGTTTATAGTGCTTTATTTTTATTTCAAGCAGAGAGAAAAACCTAAAGCTGGAAACACAATAAACACAGGCAATAGGCACAGGCAATAACGAACCGTCCAATCAGAGCTTTGGGGTATAAGTTCGATATTATATCCCAGAGCTCTGATTGGACGGCTCATTATTCCCTGTTGCCTGTGCCTATTGCCTGTGTCTGTTGTTTCCAGCTTAATAAAGCGGGGAGCACAGACTCTTGCATAACGCATAACACATGAGGCATAAGAAATTTAACCAACCAGAGTTCTCTATTACATGGAAGGGAAAGAAACGGAGAACTTCGATTGGTACATATTCTTATGCATTACGTGTTATACGTTATGCAAGAATCTGTGCTCCCCGCTTTAAGCGACACAGACTTTTGCGTAATGCATAAAGGTAAATTTTCACGAGCTGCTCTAACCGACTATTTTAGCGACAAAAAGGATCACGTGATCATAATGGACATTTGATATTAGTCAATTTTGACCACGTGATACTTTTTGTCCCTGAAACAGCCGGTTTGAGTAGCCAGTGAAAATTTACCTTTAGGCCATAGTGCATAAGCGAATCAACCAATCAGAGTCCCTTATGTCCATCCCCACTTCTCGTTCTGTAGATCTTGCATAGCGCATAAAGCATAAAGGTACAATTTCATGAGATGCTAAAAAGCAGCGTCAGTGTGGTCACGTGATCTCAATTTAGACGCTAGCATGTGATGCTGAAAGTAGGATTTAACTCAATTTCTAGCGTCACACATGTGACGAGTTCGGTTGTGATCATTGTAATCAAAATAGATCGAGACACTACAAATATAATGGAATTTGGAGATGAGGTATTTCTTTTTATAATGAAACTACAATAAAAAATGAGTTTTGTTTTAGTTATGAGTATATAACCTTTTTCGTCAAGATTTCGTACTAAATAAACTTTGCTAGATGTCATGTTTCGTATATATAACATTTCTTTTTAAATAATTAAGTTACTTGTTTTACTAATTCATTGTTTATTCCAAAGTTATTTAATTTTTCATTATAAAATACAAAAATTGGATTTAATATGCAGAATATATATACCTCTTCATAAATTTGAACGTTAAAATATTATTGCATATTAACATTTTAATATATGTATATTATTATTTATGTTTATAGAATTACGAATTTGTCCAAATATGTGGAGTGTGCGAGCAGATATGTAATGAACCAAACATAAAAGATCATGATTGTTTACATGGATACAGTTCTTATATTGTTGATCCTACAACATTGTATTTTTATCCATTAGCAGGTACGTATAGATGTATGATAAATTTATATGATAAATATATGATAAATTTATGTGATAAATATATGATAAATTTTATTTTGTTCATATATTTATTAATATAAAATATTAATTTTCTTGTTATTATATAGATCAGGGCTCGGCACGAAATGCACATTTCGGCCGATTTTTGAGTCGGCTACGCCTCCCGCTATCCCCCTCATCGCACCGCCCCGCGCGCAATCCAAATGCCGCTCAACGCTTAGGAATGTACTAAGGCGCTCGTAGATGTAAGGGACATTCATTCGGGGCAATCGACACGTTGTAATCTTTATTTTAAAAAAAAGGTAAAAAAAGCGCTAAGCGTTGGTGAAACTGGCCCAAATGGTGCTTCTCGTAAAGAATCACCATTT